GGGGGTAAATGTCCTCTCTTTGTTTGCTTGCTTCCTCTATGACTTGGCGTAAAAACCCAAATGATTGCCAAATACTGGAAGGTATTTAACCAATAATTTACACCTCGTTATTATCATTTCTTGGAAGAGTGTATCTCGTGTAATCAAGTTACGAAGACAGAAAGACAACAGAAATTCGCCATTTGTTACGAAACAACCTAGTTTTCGATAATTCTCGAAATCATTCCTCAAAATTTCTTTTAAGTATCTATTTTTAACACTCTTTAATTAATAATAACTTTGTGCTGTTATCTATTTTTTATTTAATTTATGTGGAAACGGAACTAGGACCAATCTTGTGCTCAGTTTTATTATACAGGGTGTATTTTTAGATGGCCCGGCAGAATTTCTCTTGAACCAATGACGCTATCAAAAAATCAAAAATACGTGTTTAATATTTTTTAGTCTAGTTTCAAATTTTTACCTTTATTTGGAGAAAATTATACAGAGTACCTCAGGCCCAGTTCAACCGCAAAATTTCAAATACGACCCTATATTTCTTGATAGATCATTTTAAGGGATTTTTTAAGCCGAAAACGGTGGTGAATTGGCTTTTAAATTGGTGAAAAAATGACAAAGTTTAGATTAAAAAACCAGTCATTTGGTTTGCTATTTATTAATCACAATTCATGCTCGAATTGCCTGCCTTGTGTAAAGATGCAAATATTTGCTCTTTTTATCACTTTTTACCGGTGCTCAGAGTCAGGGGAGATGGATTGACAAGCATTTTCTATACTTTGCTACAGTTCTTCAATTAAAGTTGCTGGGTTATGATAGGCGTAGTCAATGTTTTTTAAATTGCCTCTATAAAATAGTCGAGTGGAGTGAAATCGGGTGACCGAGGAGGCGAACAGATTGGGCCATGAGATTCTATCCACCTTGCCGGAAGTGACCATTCAAATAACGTATTAATTATGCGTGTATGTCCGAAGTGTTCAGTCTCCATCCAGGTTGGCTGTTTATGAAGCCTAAATGAGCTTTTCCACGCTTCTCCTTGTGAACAAATTCCAATGCAGCATGCCTAGTTCAATTGACGGGGTTCTTTCATTGCCCCTGTGATACATAGGTTTGCCAGTCTTTGTATGATGCCTAATGTTTGGGTAGCTTGTTTTTGCTGAGCATTGGTCCACTAAGTTGCCGGAACGAAATAGTTGCGGTGTTGTCAAGTGTTATTGCGTTTTGTTAAAAATTAATATTTTACGGGAATAGAAGTAAAAACATCGTATGCAATATAAAATAAAAGACAAAGGGCACCTGCTCCATGTCTTACATCAAAGCAGCTAAAATTTCACCGTGGTATACTAAAACAGAACCAAGTTTAAAACAACCAATTTTTAGACAAATGTGCATACCCTAAGATCCAGTTCAACTTCAAAATTTCAAATACGACCCAATATATCCTGACAGATCATTTTAAAGGATTCTTTACGCTTAAAACAATGGTGCAATCAGATTTTAAATTGGTCACAAAATAACAATCGGGTGGCCGAGGAGGCCAAAAGATCGGGCCACATCTACATATCCCGGAAGGACGATTCAAATAAGATGTCACCTGCAAAGAATTGTGTGCGGGGCATCCATCAAGCTAGAGAATCATTCTTTGTCGTTGTTGCAGAGGAACATCACCTAATACCTCCGTCAAAAAATTTATGAACTGAGCACCATTTAAATTATGTTCATAGAAATAAAGCTCAGTTAATTTCCAAGAGCCCACACCAAATACTGTGATGACGAGAGTTCGAAACTCGGATTTTCCTCTGCCCACGTTCGAAAATTACAACGGTTTAGTACGCCATTAGAGGTGAACATGGATTCATCGGACTGTTGGATGTATCGAAGAAGGTTTTCTTCAGCTTCCCAAATCGACATTTGTGCAAGAAACGTTAGACGCCTGTCACAATCAGAGTCCCAAAGTCCCTGGACAAGATGAGAGTGATACGGCTTAAAATTGTAAATCTGGAGTACATCTCCAATATTATTTTTTTGAAAAACCTAAAACCCTTCGAACATTTCGGAGAGAGGAATTCGGATTTTCGCGAACATACAGTAAAATATTCAGCTCCTCGTTGAAATTACGTTGCAAGTTTCTTTTTGCCATAACTTTATCACTTTTTGACCAATTTAAAATCCAATCGCACCATTGTTTTCAGCGTAAAAAGTCCTTTAAGTTCGTTTGTCAGGATGTGGTAGGTCGTATTTGAAATTTTGAAGTTAAACTGGGCCTGAGGTACCCTGTATAATCTTTCTCCAAAAAAGGTAAAAAGTTTAAACTACTTAACCTTTAAACTACTTAAACTTAACCAAACCCCATCATCTACTATAAGTTTAAACTAGACTAAAAATATTAAACACGTATTTTTTGGATAGCGTCAGTCAAGAGAAATTCAGTCGAGCCATCTAAAAAGAACACCCTGTAGAATCATATCACAATATAGGTTATTAAAATAATGTATTTTATATTTCAAAGCTCTTCAGGAAATTATTACCCAAAAGATTAAAGTCTCAATAGAAAAAAATGTATTATTATTATATCAAACAATCAATTTTGCTTTAGAACAAAACACCCAAAATCCCAAAAATTCGTGGTTGACAGAGCAACTTTGTAAGTGAAATATAGTATTGAAACAACAACAAAACTGCATATGAGCAACCCTTATTGAAACAACACAAGATTGAAAAATTAAAATAAATGAACTGGTGTACACCTTAAATTTACAAACATAAAACTCACGGACAATAAAATTATTATAAACGGAACGTAGTGCAGACACAAAACATAGCAAGGTATGACGATAAATTCTAAACTGAAACGGAGAGCACATTTAAACAACAACAGAACTGGGTCTCAAATGTAAACAACTGTATTGGCTTTTGTAAGAAAGACCTATTTGTCAATTCAGAACAAAATCCTCAATTATAAACAAATCTTTAGACCAATCTGGATTTATGGCATAAAGTTGTGTTCGTGAGCCAAAACATAGCTATCTTACAAAAATTCCAAAACAAAATACAAAAGAGCTTGGTTGATGCACCTTAGTATGTACGGAAGAGATGTACTTTATCGACTTTTGCCGTTTCATATGGAGTCGTAGGGATTTCTCCCTTTAACACCTCAACTTTCGTCTATTGTGGCAATCTCTACTAATAAATTTCCTAGAAGATTTTCTTTCCTTTTTGTTAAAAAGTATAAATTTCTTATAAAGGGAATAGTCCACGATAATCTGAACTCCTATTTTTTATCTGGTACCTAATTGATCTTCCTCTTTCAAACCTAAAACAATAAAATTATCAATAGGTCCACCCTGTAATCATAAAATTTCTTCTTTTCTTATCTAACCTCAGCTGATGTTGTTACCACAATATCAAAGCCTGTAAGACTTGGCGGTATCCCGAACAAATTTTTAAAACTATGCCACCAATCATGCTACCGGCCCTATTACATATATATACAACTACTCCCTCCAAAAGTCCCCGAATTGAGTGGCAACATCAATTAAACAAAATCAGTATCTGATTGAAAGAAGCACTGAATTATCTTTACATGAAGTATGATATGTAATAAAGAATTTTTATTCTTCATCGATCTTCAAGGAAACGGGGTCGTCCTGTCGTTCGAATCCTGAGGAACAGCTTTGACAGACAAGTCGCGCAGTGCCTGTCAGGCTCAAAGATTACGTTTATATACTTCTTATTATTTCTTATATCATATTTTTCGATAGCTTATGCTTTTTCATCTATTATTTCAACCAGGGAATCATTCCTGAGAATATTATGAAAACATTTATCCAGAAAGTTTCATAATAATTTTCATTCCTAAATAGTAAAATATGTTTCTATCAATTCGAAATCATTTTATCATTTTCATCATTTATGTAAAATTAATTCGTCCATTCTTTTACATACTTTTATGTTCCCTACTTCCTTTCTTCGCAAAAATAGTTGACAAGATTCTTAGCAAACGATTGATCCCTATATTAAACTGCCTCAAACTTCCCCCAGATCACCAGTTCGGCTTTCGTCCACAACATTCCACAAATCAGAAGTGCTTCGCGTTGTGGGCCACATATCCTCATATTGAGCGTAAACAATGATGCATGGGCTAGACGTGACACAAGCGTTTGATCGCGTGTGACATGAGGATCGCCTGTATAAAATAAAACGTGTCATTCCAAATACCATGTAACTATCGTTCGCTCATACCTAACATAACGATTCGTCCGAGTTCGACAAGGATAAGACCTCTCGGAATATTGCCCTCTTTCCCTCAGATATCCCGACTACACCCTTCACTCTCCTAGCTTTCTTTGCCGACGACACAGCTGTGCTATCTCTCGATGTTTCGGAAGAGATCCAGGAAAAAGTGTTGCGAATAGCCGAATGGAGCAAATTGTCATGTCTTGAGATAAATGGAAGCAAATGCACCCATATCGCTTTGACCCTCCAAAACAAAGCCCATCGTACAATATTTCTCAATAATAATCCTATCCTAAAAACCGACCTTGAGTTCTATATCGACTCGACAAAAGAATTAAACAGACTTTGAAACACTGTACAAATTATTATCAAGAACATCACACGTAGTAACAAAAAACAAACTAACACTTTATTAGACACTACTGAAACCGATCTAGACGTACGGATTAGAACTATGGGGTACCGCTAAACCGTCCAACATCCGAAGAATAAAGTCCTTCTAATCCAAAGTCCTAAAGTCCTCAGAACCATTGTTAGCGCATCCTACTACGTTTTTAACATTACCCTTCACAATGACTTCTAATAACCTTCGTGAAAAAACTAATTCCTTGAAAAACTGTTCATTAGTCCGATCCATGTTCAATTACGCACATAGAGAGTCGACTGAAGCAGAGATGGCCCCAAAATGAAAATCAAATGTATCTATTGTATAATACTTACTCATATTTTTAGGATGTTTGTTTAAGAAAAGATTACCAGCAAAAATGTCACCACAAATACACAAGTTAATATATGTATTTCTATGCATTACATGTTTATTTATAACAATATATCAAAATAAGTAATTTAAAATTAAACTACTTAAACTACTTTTCACTCCATTGTAGGAAAGAAGGTTCAATGTATAACCAACCGAGTTAAAAACTGACTGTACGGTCCACCGTCGGTTTAAAGCATACTTTCATAAAACCGCGAGTATTGGCCCGACGGGTCGTACTTCGCTTTGAGCCGGTTCCAATCGTTCCTCCTCTGCCTGTAAAGATGTCTCAGTACTTTCTCCGCCTGCACTTTCTGCGTAGATGTGCACTTCTTGCAACCGGTTCTTAAGGCATCGGGAAGTATCTCTGAAAATTAAAAATCTGTTAGACCGACAATTCGCTGTGGAATTTTTTTTAATGTGTTTAATATAAATGGATTTGATAAAGTGCAGTGTTTTAAATTAAGTGTTTGATTAACGACTAGACATTTACAAAACATTAATTGCTAAGGCAAGAAAAATTCATAATATTAACCTATAAGTCTATAGTAATCATCAGCCAGAGATTACAGGAAAAATTGGGAAATAAATACCAGGATGGCGTGTTGGTTATTTTAATAAAGCAGGGGTAATACATAATTGCCCCACTACAACAATGTAAATCGCACTCGACAGGGCCAACAGACTCCTAAGATACAAGGAAGTAAAGCCAGATTTTAAGGAGGAGTTACGAAGAAATTCTGGACAGAATTGAAATAAATGAGATAGCTATTATCTTTATTAACTCCAGTGCCCAGAGTTATATTCATGGATATCACGTTGGAAAATTGTTGGGATTAGTCCAAGGGGCTAATCTAGTCTACCCCTCAGCTTTAGTTTCAGACAAAATGAGAAAACATTCAACTTTGACAGACCCTTCCATGTCCCCCATTCCTACCACCTTTGGGAGAAAGGTGGCTCCGTGTTTCAGGAACGGGCCCTAATACGGTGCACAGGTGAATCGAGGATAGAACAGGCAGAAGGTTTAAGGGAGGAAAGGGCCGAACTATACACGAGCAAAGCCCCTTGGTACTATGCAATACAACTCTGGGCACTGGAGTTAATAAAGAATACGATAGGTACTTAGATTTACGTACTCTCAGATAGACAGGCAGGTACAAAGACACTAAATGCGTAGTCAACTCGAAACTTGTCTGCGAGTGCCTAAATTGCATAATGGCTCTAGGAAAACACAAATTTACCTTTCAGTGGTTCCGGGATATGAAGGTATAGACGAAAATGAACGAAGCTTGCGAAACTAGCCAGCCACAAAAAAGGGGCAGCCCCACACCGATCGAACCAAAACCATAACAAGGTACACCGGAGTGTGTGCTTAAGTTACAATTGAAAAATGGTTTGAGTATAAAAACTAAGCACTGGTCCAAGGTACCAGGTATGAGGCACGCTAAGAGTTTTATAAATCCCTCAAACAGGAAGGCGAAGGAATCCTATCCCTCAGCAAGCAGGATTTAAAGAAACTTACAGGCCTCTACACCAGCCTTTTTCCTCTTAATTATCACGTAAAGAGCAAAGCAGAGGCAGAAAAATGCTATCAAGAGAAACCAGAGACCTGGCCAAACTCAGTCTAAAAGAGGCGCGCAAGGAGGACAGTGCTTAAGCATATAGGAAAAAGTACTTAAAAAAATCCTTCCAGGCTACCTTGAAGAAAAATGCTAATAACTTTCTCATTTTGTATGTAGTGTATAGCCTTTCCATACGTTAACATTGTGAACCCAATCAATAACAAGCCAGGTAAAGCTGGTGACCGCTGGTTCAAAGTGGTGACCGAGTGGTGAGGGCGTCCGACACTTATTTGCAGGGTTCGAACACCAGCGTAGCCCATGAAATTTCATTTAGAATAATTTTAAAAATGACTGTAAAAGTGGCTCTAACATCTCGTCCGCAACACCCAACGGGAAGTATGCTGTTAAGCCCTCCTGTATGATAACTTACTATGTCTAGAAATGGTTAAAATCTATTGTTTGAAAAGCGATCAGTGCCCTCTGCGAATGTTTCCAATCGACAGACTACAACCCTGTAAACTTGGTGGTGTTGGTTGATGTAAGAGTTTGAACTGTTTGAATAAAACGTAAACCACGATAGTAAACGGACCCAGTAAAGTGATCGAATACCGATCATTACTTATCTTGAAAAATTATGCCTACTCTGATTCCGAAAGGAGGGCCATCCCATTTTTACACAATTCTCGCGCACAAACACATAAGCTCTCCAAACATATACACATACACGCGTACGAACATGAATTTAAGAGTTTTAGTTGAAAATTCAATGCTAAACATTTTTATTGTCACGTCTTCGTGTGTGAATTTGACAAATTAGGAAAGATAAATTAAACTGCGAGATTTACTTTATCGTTTCCGATCAATTTAGCCTGTCTGTCCGAGCTGTTTTGGGTCTATGAGAGGCATCTCAACTTCTCCTTTTTTCATAGGGTTTGTGTGGAAGTAGATTTTTTATACTAAAACAGTCCAATGTATTTCATTCTGTTATCCTTAGATGATTAGCTATTTTTTTTAGGAATCTTCTATTGCAATTTTCTTCACCCGTTACCCGCGTGTCTTTTAAGTTTATATATCTTAAGATCTCGTCCAACATTTTCTGAGTATTAGATTTTCTGACTTGTTCATGATTTTTACTACCCCGGGAATTTCCTTGATTGTGAAGTCTGTTCGTTTTACCTTTATTGTGTTACGATTCATTTGTGTTAACTAGTAATTTATGGTCAAGCAGGTCAATGTGATCAGTTCGACAGATTATTTTTAAATTTTTCCATTTATTTTTTCTTTTTATGATGGACAAATGCATACCAAAAAAGTCGGTCTAGAGTACAAGCCTACTACTGATGATGGTGTAGAGCTGAAACATTTCTGACATACAAAAATGTTCGAAAATAACAACACCTAAAGTTAAATTACCAACAACATTAGTCCTTCTTTATATATATTTTTTATTTTATTCCTCCTTGTTTATTCTTCCTTCCTTATTCAAGGAGGAAAATAATTAAATATGTTTTAAATATTCTTGGGTAAACAAACACAGACATTCATTCTTTTAATGTTGAAAGTTGAATTATTATCATTTTATCCTTGATTCACAGAAAGTGACAAGGGAAGTGATAACGCTTTAAACGAGCTTCTTAATCAACACCATATAATAATATATCATACGGTGTGTTTGTATTTGATCCATGCTTCCATTGCCAAATGCGAATTGACTAGGAATGACAGAATCCTTATTCGATTTTCTTCAGCTTTCGTGTAAACTATCGCCTTGTCTCTTTGATCTTATTTTCCTACGATATGCGAGAATATCGCCCGTACAACTATTCCTCAAACTGTACTTCTTGTTAGTTCATGTCTATCTGAAGAAACCCAGTTTACAAGCTGAGATTATCTCTCGCATATTTCGTTTTTATCGCCAGTTCTCAGAATTAGTAGTTTATGTCTACATCCTTCGGACTTTCTTTTCTTTGAAATCGACATGGAACTTTGAATCATGTATGAATGTATGAAAACAGTTTAAATTGTATTGCCAGTAGTTTTATTTAGAAATTTCAGGGAATTTAAATTGAGCTCTATTCATAATATAATTAGAATTTAAATGATAACCTCCAATCAAATCAAACGTTGAAATAAATAATGCTTCTATATATTATGAAATTATTTAATTTTCTTAAATTAATTTATTTTTTAATTGAACCTACAGTAGTATAAATAAACTAATTTGTAGGAATCCTTTTTTTTATACTCATACTACCCCAAATCGAAACGTTTCTTTCAGTGTTATAATACAAATTGAATTTACATTTTACACGATTTTAAAATGTCAAGATGTAGGTTTTTTAATTGAAATGAACAGCAATTGCCTTTTCGCTTGATATAGCAACTTCATAAGTTACACAATTTGATGTCAGTTGCATCTCGACTGAAACGGGCTTTAAACGGACGGGAAAAGCAGGAGTTGCAACAGGCTGACGCAAGCCGTACGATGCGAAAGCGCATTTGTAATAATTCAGTACTGATAAGCCCACAGAGCTTAGCGTTAAGCTACTTACTTTTAAGCGTTTTCCCTTCATTGTTGCATCTCGTTTGGTCCAGGAGGCACTTGACGTACTGTCGGACGATCCTTTCATTCGCGAGGATCGAGTCAACGTTGATGTTATCATACTGCGAGGTGTAGGTCTCCTGAGACACAGCTAGCCCGACGAGGCAGACAAAAACCAACAACAATTTCATCGTTAAGCCGTTGTCCTGTGTAAGGCCGCGACGAAAATAGTTTAGTTTTATAGGTAATCCCCCTCCTTAATTGGCCGATTCGGAAAAACCTGACTTCTACCGCCTTAAGGGATGAAGTTAAATTTATACAGTACGATTTCAGGCAATACTACTAGTAGTTATTATGTGCGTTTTTTAATTCGCATTGTTATTTGGTTTTTAAAGCACAACATACTATTTTTATTACTGAAGTTATTTGATAATACTAGGTCGAAAAATATTAGACATGTGTAAGAGCGTTATTACAAATGGTTTCCAGGTGTCCAAAAACACAAAATAATTGACCTAATTTAAGTAATTTTACGTATATTTTACGTTTTTGAATACCTAACTCGTTCAAAATTATGTATTTTAATATCTACCATAATTATGCAATTTTGACGTAGTTACCAAGCGACGTAGCCAGGTCGGTTTAAATATTTTTTTAAACAAACATAGTAGATGAATTTTTGCACCCTCAAAATTCCCGTAATAAAAATTTTTGGGGAACTAAAAAAAAATTTCCACGTTTTCGCCTTACTTTCGTTTTTTTTCGAAATCACAAAAATGGAGATAACTAGCATCTTCACCCATACACAGGGAACTTCACAAATTATGTCGCACTTTACAAATTAAACATTAATATATATAATGACACAAGCACAAACAAGTAAGAACTGTAGAAACGAAACAAAATGTTTGAGAAGTTTTTTTTTTTTTGCTTTTTCCACGGTTATATCGAAATAAAATCCAAAAGTTGTTTATATAAGGTCAAAGAAAAGATTTAAAGCTTGCCAACGGTTTTAATAATTTGTGTAAATGTGTGGTGATTAGGTGGTTATCATATAGTAATAACGTGGACATTGGTTAAAATTCAGAAAGGTTATGAATTTTTAACTGGAACACCGGACATCGGAGAATAAAAATACCCCGGCTGATGTAGCACAACAAGTTTTTTGTTTTCTTTAAAAAATCGAATTTATTTATGATAATAAGGCGCTTAAAACCAATTCGATTTGTTTTTCAAAACTATGTTTTCTTCCTCCTGATATCTGATACTGATATCGCTTTTTTGTTTTTGTAAATTATTATATCTAATCCTAATATAATACGATCTTGCTTTTGTTTTGGTTTTCTCAAAAATTGTATTATTGGACATTTTGGATGCAAAAAATGAATATCAACTTCGCTCGGATCATAATTACACAAGCTAATACCCACTGAGATACATAATTTGTGACCATAAAAAAGTCTGTCAAAATATGTTTTTTTTTAATTTATTAATTTATTTTTTAGAAAAACAAAGTTTTTTGACAAAAACCAATAAGATTCGTTCTAAGCATCATTTAAGCCCTGAAATACTATTTTATCTTATAAGCAAAAAATTGATGCATTTCTATACACAGTATACAGGGTGTTCGGCTACTCGCGTTACGAACTTTGACAGTAGATTCTACATTCCAATTGAAACCAAAATGTCCTAATTAACTATGATCCGAATGTCAATAGTTTCTGAGATATTCCCCTTTTTCCGATTTTTTAAGATTTCACGACCTTGTTTCAAATAAACAATGATAACTCCAAAATTAAAAGGCTTTGGGCAAATCTGTTGATATCATCGAAAACTACGTTAAATTTCCAATAAGATGTGATAACGTTGGTGAAATAAGCGTTTTAGTAACCAGAACTTCGAAATTTTTTTTTAGTTAAAAAACTTACTATGGCGATTCTAAACTACTATTTCCAAACCGAGAGCCCAGCAAGTTTCAGAAAACATACTCCATTAAATATCCTTTTTAGTGGTGTAATTGCTTTTTTAATTACCTTTTTCAAAAATGAAGAAATTGATGAAGGAAAAGTAAAAACTGTGGTTGCCGGATTGGTAAGGTGGAAAAATGAAATTAAAAAATGAGAGAACTTAAAGATATTTTGAATGAATTTATTAAACGTTTTTTAATTTAGGTTTGAAACTGAAATAGTGCCATTGTTTACTTATTTACCAACACGACTGCAACTTTGACTAAAGGATTGTTGTATTGTTATTCCCCGGAATAAAAGAGTTTTTAATTCATTTTTTCACAACTTCCTTAAGTTTTCATTTTGAAGTTTTTGGTTCCAATTTGAATGTTGAATCTTCGGGCAAAGTTTGTAAAACTAGTAGCCGAACACTGTATTTTTGGACACTTTCCGTTATCCCATGTTCCACATAAAATTTCATAACCCCTATGCATTTTATCCAGATTCAGTTGTTTTTTAATCTATTTTTTACTACACAATAATCGGGTTTTTACTTATGATTTTTAACAAATTTACCCATCTCATTTTCCTTCCGTTGGAAGCCTTTCTTTAAATTTATTTTTATAACTAAACAGAAACCATACAGGCGTGGCAAACCCAACTTGACAGTCAATATTTCAAGACAAGTTTTAACGTGAAAGCAAAGTGCGACATCAACCAGACCAACTTTTCTTGATCCAATAAAAAAGTTGATCAACTTTTGAAACAAAGGTTTTCACTTTAGCTTTCATTCAACATGTGTTGGTTCAACTATAATCAGTCGGTTAAACTTGGTTGCGTGTTTATTCCGTGATACAACAAATAAAAAACGTGAAAAATGGAATATTTGAACAAAGTTAAACTCAAAAAGTATTCAAGCATTTTGTAAATTTCAAAGAAACGTAATCCAATGGTCATAATTTCTTTTTCTTTGCTTTTAAAAGGCAGAAAAGAAAGTAAAAGAAGTGTTTGTAATGGAAAAATCTAACGATGGAACAGGATCGTGTTCTGTGTTAGAATACATTTGCGCTTTGTTTACCCTTTCCTGAGAAAACAATGAAAAGGAACGCGCTAAGTTCTGTGAATCAATGCCTTAACTATTTACACCTCTCTTTACCAACCCTTCGTTGACTACATGCATTATGAATTCTCTTCCCAGAGGCTATGTTTTCCCCAATTTTACCTTGGCGTCTTTTCTTGGCCCCGCTTAAAGGAAATTTACTCTCCGACATGAGCCAAGAACAAAATCCACAATTTTGGTAATTATATAAATTAAAAATTGTGTCCTTATTGTTCAATTTTCAAACATAAATCGCGAGTATGGTTTATAAAATTGTTAAAAATTACACAAGAACACAATTAAGAATGTTATTACAAAGTATGATTGTTAGTGAAAAAGGATAAACCTAATGAAATGCCTGTCATACGACATATTTAACGTTTAACTAATCATTGGGCGTCTTGGTTAAAGAAAACAAATTTTCAATTTTTTGTTTTTTCAAAGTATTCTCAAATAAAAATACTTGGGCCGGTTTTCGAACCCAGAAATAGGTTAAAGAATAAAATTCTTAGATTAGACTACAGTCAATGTTTAACATGGTGTAAACTAAATTCTAATCTTTATGTAAGGTATTGGTTGAAATGAAAAAGTTAGTGTCACGAGCGGGATTCGAACCCACGACCTTCAGCTAAATACGCCGTTGATCTACCACTTGAGCTATCGTAACTTCGATCCACTCGGGCACCAACTTCCCATCTCAACCTACCTTTCGAATTATTCGAGATGGGAAGTTGGTGTCCGAGTGGATCGACGTCATAAAGATTAATTAATTGAAAGAAGTTATTTGGTCAATCGGACTGCGAAATATAATGGATTAAATTCTAATCATTACAAGGATAAAATAAAATATCTATTTTATGCTGTACAGACATTTTTATAGGAGAGAGACTTTATCTCGAGTTTTTTATATTTATCTTCCAACTTTTTGATCGTTATCTCTTACGTGACAAAAGCCCCTTGTATAAAATAGAAAAAGTGACGGTGGATTTCTCGCTTAGACGATTGTTACTCACTAAAATCTTTGCACTGTGCTAAAACCTCAAGGGAAATATTGTTTTACAAAATTATCCTTTTGTATTTGTTAGTAATTAATGAATATAGTAATAATAAAAACGGTACAAAAGAAACTACAATCGGCAGACTACAGGAATGGAATTTTATTTGTCTTCTGGAGTACTAGTAAAGTCTAGAGTACTAATGAAGAAAATAACAAATATAAAAACATTTAAAAAAATGTATTCATTATTACAACGAAAAGAAAAGAGAAGTAAAATAATGCCATAAAGAAGAGCTTAACGTCTAATTACCAGTTGGGTGTCCCGCACGAGGGGTCAAATCCCTTTTGGGACCTCAAAACCAAATTTGGCACTTTCATCGTTGTTACTATTGTCGGTGACTGGTTCTCCAACGAGTCTATTGTTACTGGGAGCTGCCGCAGCTCTTGCTCGAGAAATACCATGGAGCATCGGCAAAACGTAGTTGTTGCCTGGGTACCCGGACACATAGGTCTGTAGTGGAACGAAAAGGTGGAGGAGGCGGTGGAGACCGGGACGTCCCAACCTCCGGGCTTAACCACTGCAACCCGCTTCCCTGTCGCTAAAAATGCATTAAAATCATGATTAAAAGAATGTGGCAGCGTCGGTGGGCCCGATCGGCAGAAAAGCGTCTACGTATCAGGATCCCTATCGATCGATGGCCCTCGGAGGATCTTACTCGTATAAGAGTGGTAATAGTCACTCGATTAAAAATAGGCCATACGAGTTTAACACACGGACATCCGCCAAAGCCGGCATAGTTGAACAGGGCAATTCCTTGGCTCCATATAGAGAGCGTGTAGAAATGCCATCCGATGAGAATCGTACTTGAGCACGACAGCGAGTATCTTGGTCCGATTTTTGGAATAAACAGAATTTTTGTATTGTTGGTAATATGTGCCCCTGGCTTGTGTTGGGAGTGAATGTATTTATGGGCTTGAAGTGTAGTGTGAGAAGACCGACGATATTGAGAACCCATCGACCCTCAATTAGATTAGTTATGCAATCGGTGTAAGGGTTCTGAAAAAAATCCATCGCCCTGAGGAATGGCAGAAAATAAGAAAGGATGTATTTAAAAGTTAGTGGGGTTGGTTTTAGGAACTGACTGCGTTAGGGGCTGAAATGACTTAGCTGTTGTACCCCCCCCCCAAGTCAACCTCGGCGGTTGGACGGATAAGACCGAGGTCTGACAACACCCGAAGGTTATTCTCGAGCCCCTGAGGGAAAATTGTTAAAGTGACAATAAGTTCCCAACGATAATACCAGGCATGACGTACTAATTTCAGGTTTTGTTCATTTAGAAGAGAGGCTGAAAGATGACCACGTAATCCAAGTGCTAACCCCTGACGTGATGGTCAATTTTGCCAAAAAATGCTCAATATTTTGT